TAATAAAAAAAAAGGGCGTTGGCAAGTTGTGCATCTTGACATGCTCTTTCAAACAAAAACAAATTAAGGATATAGCACGAGCCGGGACCGAGAAATTTATGTCCCGAGTTCGAAAAAGTGTAAACCGAGAAAAAGTGAAAAACATTTTTTAATTTTTCAAAAAACAGCTGGTTTTTCGAATAGAGGTTGACGAAAATCTTCGAAAATTTTGGACAGAAAGGAGGTATCGAGGAAAACTTTTTATCAGTTATGAAAGAGCAGATCACGGGCTATCTTCCCATGGATTTATCTCCATTTCGACTTTTTTGACGAAAATTGACTTTTTTTGAGTGGGGGGGGGGGCCTTGAAAATGTTAAGTTTTTCATCAATTCATATTTAGGTTCGAACATCCCTCATTTACTGTTTATGTAATAGATTCGATTATAAAAATTACTTTGGCATTGTAATTAAATTCATCCAACCAGAATGAAAATAATACAGTTGCATTATATTAACAGCTAGAAATGTACTTGGTGTAAGTAATTTAACTGCTAAAACATCAGATGGTACAACTTCAAGTCCAATTGATGCAAGTCTTTACAAAAAAAAAGACACATATGTATATATATATATATTATTTCATATAGAAAACTTACAATTGTTTACTAAGTCTTTCTGATAAAAATACATTTACTTTTTCAAACTAAAATATAAACAAAAAGAAAAAATATATATTTTGTAAAATAATTAAAAAAAAAATTCCTCTACTTGATAGATATATATTCCAATTAAAACTAACATTGAATAAATAACTATTATTAAATGAAATGTTGCTGCTGTTCTTCGCCAAAATCGAAATGAAATCTAATAAAACAAAAAAAAAAACAATATAATTATCACTTATAGATTTCTAACAACATTGATCATACTTGAAATGAAAGAATAAAAAATAAATAAAATGCCATATAAATAATTCGATAAATAACGACAGTATTTTGAATACTAACAAGTAAGAGCATACCACATGATACAAATATCCAATATTTTGTTAACAAATTAATTAACCATCGTCCTTAACACAAAAGAAAATTTAATTTTTACAAAAAAAAAAAGATCAAATTGTTACCTAATCGTCGAGGATATGAATCATTCGATGCACTACTTCGACGAGCTAGAATATCGAAAAAAGAAAATAATAATTAATCAAATTTTCTTCATGAGCAAAATCAATTTCAAGAAGACTATTCAAACACACAGGCATAGATTTATTTTTCTCATCAAATCATTCACTCATCTTACTTAATTCTATAACTATAAAAGAAATTAAATTTATCTTTTGTTTTTTTTTTGTTTTGTTCATATTCAATGAAATAAAGAAATAAATAATTACCTTCATTTAATCGTGTATTAGTATTTCGTTTCTCGTTAATATATTGTCGAAGTGTTAACCAAAAAAACATCATATAAAAGGACTAAAATACATCGAAAAACTAAATTATCTATATTCTATCATAAGAATATCATACTTTAAGAAGTAATGGAATAAAAGCTGGTTGAAAATCATCTATACGAATACCAATTTGTTCCATAGTTCGACGATCATATGCAAAATTTAATTGATTAAAACTAATTTTAAAACCAACTAAATATTGTAAAATTAATAATGTTCCTCCATAAATTGTAAAAAATGGACTCATTCTCAAACACCATTGTCGAGAATTAGGTAATACCCAAAGTAAACATGCCCATAGAAGATAGACTAATGTTAATAAACTATGAAATGTTATACTCCATGCCTAAATTAAACAAATTGTTTGACGAAAACAAAAAGAAAACATATGCCTACCAACATAGCCAGTAATGATAATAAATAACTGTGTCGTTCGAGTACGCGAAGAATAGAAAAAACGACGAAAATAATTCGTCCTTGCCATGTTTGATCACCAGGTTGTTCTACACTCCATCGTCGATGTAATATTGGTGAACTTTGCTCAAGTGTTTCGCGACCATCAGCACTATTAACCAAACTCTACAATATATATAAAACTCAATACAATAATATAATATCATAGTTTCATAAACAAAGCCTAGCATTAAGAACATAAGTCGAAAAACATAGATGTAACAAAGAATGCAGAAGCAAAATTGCTCTTCCCAATATAACTACACTAACGAGGGCACATTTTCAACTAATCAATCACTTTTGAATTCGGACTCAACACATAAGATAGAGTCTAGCAAAAGATGAAATACCTAAAAACAAAAAGTGCTCTGGAACTTTGTGTTCAGAGTTATGGAGGTATTTTACTAGAATTTTAGCTTAAGGCATGATAAATGCTAACAACTCGAATGATAGTATTTCGATCTGAGGTTTTGCCCGCAGACAGATTTTTTCCTTCTAAAGATATTAAAATTTTAAACAAACAGAAAATTCTAGTATCATCTGAATCCAAAAGTGATTGATCAGTTGAAAACGTTCTCTTGTAAGTCTATATATTCAAAACTATAGATAAGCAGTCACACAATTCAAATACAAATGCAAGCACAATATGGGCAAACCTGCTGATCGGAACTGCGACGAGGATTTATCTGGTTAATAAGGTATACACACAGAGTTTACGAAAGGGTAGTTCACACAAAAATATTTTTTCCTCAAATTTCCTTTTTTTGCTTACCTGTTGTTCAAGTGATTGAATCGCTGTTATATTCGATCGTATCTTAAGATTAAAAAAAAAAAAAGTCTTTCATTACAAAAAACAAGCAATCAACTTTCAATATAATTTACTCTATGGAAAAGTGTTTGATTTGTTTCAAAAGCAAAATAAAAATAAAGAATAAGTAATGCACATGGATTAACATAATCAGTCCATATTAATTTCTTTTCAAAATATGGTTCTTGATTCGTACAATTATTTATAAAAATTGCTGTTAAACCTGTAATACTAATAAATATTACGAGCATTTATTTATATTTGTAATTTTAATTATTCTTACTTGCTCCATAATGATAAAGGTTGTAAAACATCTTGAAAAAATCCGAATTGATAAAGATAGAAAATTAATAAATGTACACCTGCATAAATAGATAATAATGTTCGAGCTAATGCATATTTTCTTCCAAAATTAACCGATAATGACCAAATAAAAGCAAGTGTAAGAAAAAAAATAAAATATATTGAATTAATTATACTCGGATAAACAAATGCAGCAAAACCAACAATAACAAACTGAAGAAATAAACGTGCTCGTCTTAATATAGATAATAATCTTGGCCATAATTTCGTTTGACTTGTTGTACTAATACTACTATTTGTTAATGGTGATATTGTTTGTGATGTTAGAGGTTCATTTGTTTCACGATTTCTTGTTGATAATAATTGACGTCGAATAATAACGAAACAAATTATTGATATAGCTAAGATAATTATATCAGGAAAGATTAAACGTAAGATACGAATAGCATTTGAATTATCGAGACTTAAACAAAAAAAAAATATATTTAAAAGAATATATTGATTTATAACATACCGTTCTAAACCAAAATATCGAAGAACTCGAGTTATTTCAGTACCTAAAGTAGACTTGATAAAAGATTATCAATTGAAAAAAAAAATTTCTTGCATACAATTATTAAGAGTATGACCATAGGGTTTATTAGCAAGAAGAACAGATTGAAATATAATTTGAGCAAGAACTGTGAGCAAACTCAGAAAGCCAATAACCAATATGAATAGACGAAAACGTGCTAAAATAATATTTTTGAGACATATTTTGATTTTAAATTTAATTATTTAATTTTACTTCGAATATGTTTTTCAGTTAAAGGACCAAGCCATGGAAGAATCAATAATAAAAAAGCATAAATAAATGATATAACACTATATCGAAAGATAATTCCTATTTATTTGGAAAAATCGATTTAATGCTTTTTGTTTTGTTTTGAAGAAAAATTTTCTTTTTTTCTTACCGATAAGCAACGTAATTGGAAGAAGGATAAGAATAAGTATTGATAAGAGTGATCGAACCATTCTTATCAATTTTCTAGAGATTATTAATAACGAATTAATTTGTATTATAAACTTTGAATTTTTTTTTTACTTTGGGTGATGTTGTTGACGGATAAAAAGGGAACTATATAATCTGAAACTGATTTTAAGATTAAAAAAACATTGACTTTTGTCATTATACATCAAGGATATTCACTATTGATCAAGTTCAATAACTACTAGATATTTCTTTCAAATGTTTCAAAATAATTAGATAATAAAAAATTAGAAAGCAAACAAAAGTGAAGGATATCATCAAAATCATTACAACCATATGATGATTAAAGATCATTCTAGGATTTCTAAACTGTCATAATATTCATATTAGTTTTGTTAAAGACAGCTTTAATCTTCGAAATATCTTGTGTAAGCAAGGGACTTCAACTATATGGGCATCAGCTGTCTGCATAATATCCTTCGCCTTTAAATCTTTTTCCTTTCCTGAGGCGCAAAAGCAAGAAAAAGAATGAATAAAACCATCTAATTATCTATTCATTATAAAGTTTCTCTATATTAGTATATGTCAACCGAATTACTTCCAGTAGACGACTGTATCAACATAATCCATGTTCCAATAAGAACAGCATAATTATTCTTCTCGATATCTGTATATATAAATATTTGTAGGCTGCTTTATATATATATATATTGTTTTTTTTAATATGTCACCACATTGTTCTTGACATAAAGAACGAAAAATTTACCTTGATGTAATCCTTTGTATGAGTTACCTATAAATATTTTAATCAATCCCGTAATAGAAATAAATTGATTGTGTGAATAAAAACAATAATATATATAATAAAATAACATAAAGAAATAAGATAAATAATCTCTATCAATGCTAAACAATATTGTAGGACATGGAGTATTTAATGAAATCAAAACTATGCTCTTTAGTAATGATAAATGATCAGATCTCATTCTAGAATGTTTGTCGTATTTTATTAAGTATTGAATACATGCATCGATTTTAAAGATCGATATCATATACATACAGTTGAATTATTACGATATCTCATAATTGTATGTATACAAATAAGGTTGATTATAAATAAAAACTAGTTCGAATTCTCTTGAGATAGTAATGGAGTCGATGGGAATACAGCAGTAAGAATACAGATGTCAAAGACTTGATAGATGAGAAGACGACAGATTTTTTTTTCTATCTCTTTCGCATCAATAATGAGTGTAGGTGTAGGAACTGTATATACAGTTCCATATACTAATTACAAATGGAATAATTTTACGGTGATCCGCTATAAATTCTTGTATTGAAGAGATCAATAATTGATAACATATAGTTAATACTATACACAAAACACTACATACTTCTAACGCAGACTGTGCAAAGCAAAGCTCGCTATACATCCTCATATATAACACTTTGCAAAGGAGTACCAAACAAAGTGTTATTTTGGTACGAAAAGATTATCATCAATAATCAAATCATAAGTATATATATCCTATTATATGGTAATTTTTTCACACTAAAATGACACTTTGTTTGGTACTCTCGCGAAAACTGTTTTTTTTATATATGAGGGTGTAAAGAAAAATATACTTTAGACATTTTAGCATTTTTTTAATAGTCTTTTTATATAGTATTAACTATATTTTAATATAGTTTTATGAATCACCGATCTCGTTGATATAAGAATGTATAGTGAATCTATTGTCATCATAGTAGGTAAATCGACAATACTCTATACAATTTTAAGTGTGAAAACTGATTTTAAGAAACTCGATATAAATTTGTCATACATACAGTGGAATCATCCAAACATTTCCTTTTATATCTCGTGGGTGTTTTTGTGATATATATATCTTACTAGTCATAATCATAATCATTTATGTTGATGTATTGTAATCGCTGTGGAAGATAATATTCTTGTGAAACTATATGAAACAAGAGAATATAAAATATAATGACTAATCTACAAAAACTAATAGTATAATTGAATGGTATACTATTACGATTCTTTGCAAACTAAATAAATCTTTTTATTTATTTAACATAACAAAATGTTTTTTTCTTTTTCTTTGCGGATGTTACAAACAAAAACAAATTCAAAGGAGAAAATCACGCCAAAATGATCTTTTATTAAATGTATAAGTTTTTTAATCATTTTACTTTCGTATATAAAAAAAAGCAATTGATTTTATTACTGTTGTTATTGTCGAGCAATTTGTTTATCAATAGTATTCATATTTCATCTTTCTGTTTGTGAAAAAATATCATCATACGATGGATGTTTTCCAACAGATTTTAGACTTTTTAAATGATTGTATGCATTTACGTACAACACTACGCAAATCACGTTGAAAATGTGCAACTTGATGCACGTCGTGTATAGTTTCAATCAGATGGGACTTCGAGTATGCCTGTTTTGTTTTAAAGAAATTCAGCAATAGCAGCTATGAATTGTTATTGAACAACATCTTTGACTGAATCATGATCAATTACGATCCATTTTTTACAGTTTATTCTTTTTCATGGATTCTCTTCGAAGAACAAGAATCTAAAAAATTAAATGAACTATACTATTTGTTCATGTAGAGAATAACAAAGTTAAGTTTAGTTCAATATGAAAACAATGTGGGTGCTCATTGATGCAATTTAACACACTACACAGTAGCATATGAGGATGAGAGCTGTTTTTTAAAATAAATAAGTGATCATAAGGTATTTAAAAATAAATAAATAAGAAAGATAGACAGTGCAACCCAAATGGTTCCTTTTTCTGTTACTCACTGATCCATTCAAATGCAAATATCCCTTGAAGAATCCTTTAATATGTGCTCAACTTACATTTTTATTTTAAAACTAATATATACATATATAAGAATTTATTTTATTTTGATTTAACCATTGGAATTATTAATTACAACGATTTTCTCTCCTACAATTTTAATAGATGTCGCTAGTCCACTCTGATCATACGGATACTATCCTTGGATCATTGTTCTTTTGTATATAATACAGATGTTTGCCAGAGAACTAGACATATATTCCACTAAAAACAGTAAAATAGATCTGAAAAGATGTTCTTGATGAGAATTAGCAAAGTATTTCGTATTCATTGACGTTGACAAAACATGGTTTGGAACGTTCTGTAAGTAAAATTTTTTGCTCAACATCAAGTACAACAACACATTGGTTCTTCATAATATCTTTCTTAGAGTACAAGCTTTTGTGTGATACCAATTACTTTGATTAACATGACGCTCCATCGTAACTGAAAACCTATTGTTACTTCTCTAGGAAATGTATCGAGTCCCAGAGTGATGCAATTGCCGATACTGAGAATTCGTTCACATTTCTGCTATATAATTACGTAACATACTTAAAAACAGGTAAAGAATTGATAGATTGTGCAATTACATGTATGGTTAAATATGGAAAGAAGAATGATTATACTTGATCAACTATAACGTTACTATTAGAAAAAATAGGTGAAAGATGTTGTCAAGGTTTGAAACTTTACCCGATGAAATCATAATGATCATTTTGAAATATTGTGGTGATATTTATACAATATTAAAAATATTTCTTGGTGTTAATCAACGTTTAAATATGATTCTTATCGATAAACGTTTGCATTTATTAACTGACTGTTTACATATTAAATGTGCAAGATGATTATTATAATTCTGAAGTGTTTCAACAATTATCTAAACAGTTAGTATCTATAAATACAATAGTTAATGAACAAAAACTTTCTTCAATTTTACAAACATTACTTAGTTGTCATATACAACAAAGATATATTCAGCTAGGACATGAATTTCAATTATATGTTGAGAAATTTAATTCTATTCGTCAATCATTGACCAATGATGAAATGGTTAAAGTAGATCATATATTGAAAATAGAATTTGAAAGGTGCTTGTTGTACATGTGACGATTACGAATTATGTCAATTTAATCTTACTAAAGCGGTAAATGAATGATTTCTTTCACATATTAATGATACTCAATCAAAATGTTCAATATCAATTAATGCATTTTTACAATTATTTCAAATACTTCTGTCATAAATAATCCAGATTATGTTGGTCGTAATCTTGAATATTTTCTTGTATATACTCTGTATAAATTAGGACATTTTTATTATGGTAGATATTCAATTCCTATCAATATGAAATATTATCGAGCTACGGTTGATTTATTTCTTTTTGTTATACAATGTCAAAAACAAATGTTTGAAAATGAATATTACATTCGAGAGAGTATGTTTAATGTTTCGGAAATGATTTCCAAGATAAATAACGATATGTTTATTCAAGTCATGCAATGTGAAATATTGAAAATAGTTGTCCATGAATATACTATAAAAGCAAAGGCAGCATGGGATGATTATTCAATGTATAGGTTTAGACAAGTATTAAAAGAATTAGTTGAGAACAATCGATTAGATGTTCTTATATATATTTATCGTGATGTTGGATTTGATCAATTCTGCGATATTCGAAATTGTACTCGAGAATGTTTAGATTTAATGACAAAAAATCGAGAGGGAAGAAAACTTTTTTGTATGATTGCAGATGAGAAATTATTGGATTTGATATTTATTTTATTAGATAAAAAGAACGTAAATTATTAGAAAAACTATTAAAATTATCACCATATCTTATTAATCAATTAGATGAAAAGGGAAATGATCCTTTACTTTATATACGTCTCAAAGTTCATGGTTGTCGACATTGAATTATTGGACTTTTAATTAAAATCGGAGCGAATTTACAAAGAACGAATTTTAAAGGACAAAACTTTATCGATGTATTACAGTTACAAAGAAATAAAAAATTATTAAGACAATTAATTGAACACGAAATCGTTACAATTAATACATAAATATTCAATGCTATTTATTATTCTTAATTTATTAAACGAACAATGAAATAATGCTGCTAAAATTTTTTGCTTGAACATGATAATAAAAACTATAGATTTTCTACAATGTTTTTACCGAGTTTCA